ATTTGTGATTAATCAATTACACTGATGATCTTTCAGAAATATATTCTATTCCCTAGGAAAACATTCACGCTTCTTCTGGCTATCCAGAAGCAGAAAGGGGAGGCTCAAGGGCCCTCTCATCACAGGTCCTGTACCCTTACCCGGCTTTCTCTGCAGAGCACCATGGTTACAGAATGAAGAACAAGTGACCACCACCCAAAGTCAGATGCCTGAGACAGGCCCCCAGCTTCCTGGCAATGCCTCACTTGAAAGGAGAAGAGAAGGTAGAAAAAGTTAAGAAAAAAGCCCTATTCTGAGACATAATTCACACAAACAAGAATGCTTCCCTGTCTATTGTCTCCAGCAGAGAGTCATGCATTGAGAACACGGCACCCCACCAAGGTGTGTAATTTGGGATCAGGTCTCTACTTTCTGTGATCTCTGTGTAGTGTGGTCGACTTATGTGATTTATTGCAGCCTTGCTTTTTAGACAAGGGGTAACAAGCATAGAGGGACACTCAAAGGCCGGAGTGTGAAAAATGTAAAGATAACATGCCCGGGGAAAGCATAGAAAGCAGGCTCTTTTCTTTTTTGTATTTAGAAGGGATTTTGATCAAAACATAAAACAGATCAGGCCAATGTCTGCCTTTTGTTTTATAGGTAAAGCTAGCTAGGACCTGTGGTCAGGAGTCCTCAGGGTCATGGGTGCATGGGGCATGCCTGAGGTTTATGTCAGCTTGGGTGCCCAAGTAGCTCCTCACGTTGGCAGATTTTACAGTTTACACAAACTCTCTTGGTCAGAAGCTCACAACACTAAATATCCAGCCAATGCTGGACTTCGACTGGAGAACCGCAAAGTCTGTGTTTGAGCTGCTAAACAGCCCTGCAGACAACTTCTGCACAAGAAGAATGTATTTGTATTCCCTGTCCCTAAATCCTCACTTACAACTGAATCACATCCTTGTATAGGAGAGGAAACATGAGACCCTCAATAAAGTCAGGCTGTGTGTCTGACTGAATGCTTGTCCCCTACAGCTAAGGGAGAGGGGCCAGGCCACACGGTTAGAGCACACACCTTGCACACTCCAACAAAACAAGGAAAAGGTTGTTCCCAAAGATGCTCAAGTGGGATACTAGGCTCCAGGAAGGTGAAATAAAACTCATTTTGACAACTGTAGCCCTCACGCAAGGAGAAAGCCATGGGGGTGGGGGGGAGGCACTACAAATAATACAAAATCTGTGCCCCAGGTCACTAGCTGATAGGACACACCTTCTACTCCCTATCTGCTTCACCCACTTCTCTAGCAGCAGAACAATCTGTCCCAAGGCCTGTGGCAGAAGATAAGCATTCTAGAAGCACAGCAAACAAGGTTGTAGGCCAAAGCAACAGGGCACCTCAGAGGTGAGTGAACCAAAGGGCAACTTAGGCATGGTGACCAGAAGCAGGCTGAGCTATTCAGCCTATGCACCGACATGTGACACACAGAGCAAGTGGCTCATTTCAGAAGCATGTGTTGTGGCTGCAGGATGAGGCTCCAAAAGTCTTCATCACTTGAGACACCGTTGCTCTGTGTGGCATAGCTGGATCACAGAGGACCAAGACCTCCTCTTGGAGAGCTCGCCGTGAGAAAGGCAAGAGCAGAGAGACACTGTGCAGCAGGGCCAGCTTCAGTGAGAATCGGAGGGGATCAGGGACCTAGGAAAGAACTGTTGGAGCCAGGACGGAAGGAAAACAGAAAATGTGTTCATTTCATCTTCTGTTTTTGCTTTCTAGTGCAAACTAGGAACCCCATCTGTGTTGACTGAATGAATGTGATGCCCCCAGTCCAAGATCGTTCAAGAAAGAAACTCATTCACTACACAAGCCAGAGTGCTATAAACAACTGAATGTTAAACACATTGGTAGAAGGTACATTTAGATGAGAGGAGCTCCTCAATCAGATGTTCATTTAAACTGTGCAATCAGATGTTCATATAAGCTGTGTTTTGTTGTTGTTTGACATTTACTCAGCATTTACTATGTCCCTGGCACTCACTAGCGTGGCTACATAACTGTGCTTCCTTGTCCTCATGCAAATGCTTGTTTCTTCAACCTCACAACTAAATGCCATAGTCTTCTTTTGAAACCCATGCAGTACAAGGAAAGAGAGAGAAGGGTGGATTCTACTGCATAGGGAGGAACTGCTCATGAAGAATCTCCTTTGGGTCAGAGGTCAATGGCAGTCTTCTTTGAAATGCAGAGGGATAGCCAGGAGTAGTGGTACACAACTGTAGTGACAGGTACTAAGGAGGCAGAGGGGGGGAGGAGGATGGCTTGAACCTAGGAGTTCTCAAACATGAGGAAGAGAAAAAAGGGTGGCTGGGGTTATTATGGAGAATCAATAGGATAAATGAAACAAGGTTAGCTTGCACACTGGTCCAAGCTGCCTCTGTCTACATCACTGCTCATCAACCGTATCTGGTGTCCAGGTGCCCAGAAGAGAGAACTACACACAGTTCTTAGACTTGAAGAGTAGCCTTATAACTGTGTGAAAGAAAACCGAGAATTCAAAAGAATCCATGTTAGATAGTGGGAGTCCAAAGAGAAAAGACAAGACTGAAGAAGTCTTGTTTATTACATAAGAGGAGAAAAGAGAAGAAGAGAAAGAAAAGAACTCCCTTTTCTTGCCATCACACAGTTTTTTACTACAAAAGCTTTGGAAATATGTACTTGGGCAAAAGACAGCTGCATCTGTACTGACACGGGAGCTGCTGACCTCCCACGTCACATGAATCATATTTAAATGTGACTATGAGTCTGATGCTCCTAGAGTATCTGATGAATGTTTAGTACAATGCCCTCTTGGTGACCCCCTCCTTCCACTGTGTTCCCAACCATTCAGTTATTCCTAATTTCTCATTTATGTTCAGGCCCATTCTTCCTAATAGTTCTGTATATGTTAACATGGGTCTCTTCTTAAATCCCACTAAAATTTTTCATTTTTCTCTTTCCACATATCAAAAAGAAAAACGAAATGGCTGTTAAAAGTCTCAGTGCTCACCAGAGAAAGCAAGTACAATAAATAGTGCAACACCTTACAAAAAAAGAGTCATTTTTCTCTAAGTCTTATTCCTTGACCGGGTATGACAGCCAAATAAACTTACACCGGATAACAGTTATCAAATGTAATTTTGTTTAGAAGCTATTTTCACAAAGTCTTTTTGTCAGTAATTATGACCTGGCACCCTCAACTCCACCTTATGAGTCATCTCTAATTCAACTGAGCTATTTGTTTATTGGTTCTACAACCCTTTGTATTCAGGGTGCAATGAGGTCATTTTTCTTCTTAAATGAACCTACTTAACTGTTTCTAAGTTAAAAAAAGAAGTAGTAGTCAGGGGACAAGAGAGAGTTAAGCCTGTAACAGCACTGGCTGCTCTTCCAGAAGACTTAGGTGCAATTTCCCAACACCCACATGGTAGCTTCCAAGTTCATGCAATTCCAGTTCCCAGGATCTGATGCCCTCTATTGACTTCTGTGGGCAACTGCATGCCTGTGGTACACATATATACACAGTCACACACACACACACACACACACACACATACACATACACACACACACACACACACACACACACACACATAAAATAAATAAATTTTTCAAACAACAACAAAGAGAAGTCATGTCAGAAAACATGTTATTTGATGAAGAAAAACACTACTTGTTTATCTTCAGTCTGCTAACCCATACTATGGAAGAAACACAATACTTTGAAAATTGTGTATGCCCAGAACACATGCACAGTTCAAGGAACTTTTTGGTTTGCTTGCAAAAAAGTAAAATAAAATAAAAATGCTTTTTAACCTAGTGTAGTTTTAAAAACCACATTATTTGTTATTATTAAATATTGAATAATGTTCTCAAAAAAAGTATCCCTTTGGAGCCCAATGCAGAAGGCAAAAAGAGCAGCCCAACCCTTCGGGGGTATCACAAGTATGTTTTTTGACTCATTTTCCATCCTGTTGTCCAGTGTGAAAAGGCAGCTCTCACCCTTGAACCTGCTTCTTTATTCTTATTCCCCCCTTCATCTGGAAAAGTCTGATACCATGCTATCAAAATTCCTTCCAGAAACCTCCTGTGTGGCCCCATCCAGCTCTGGTCAGTATGTAATCATGGATCAGCAGCTTTATCTGTTTAATATATCTAGTTTTCTTGTGTAAGTCTCTGAGGGTGGAGAGAAAGACCACAGACACCCCCAAAACAGGCTGGAGATTTCCTAGCAAGAAACAGTATCTGATGAAACAGACAGCACCAATACTGACCATGACGCTCATCTCAGTGAGAAACTGAATAAAAGAAAATCTACCCAGGAACAGCTGTGCCCAAGGCCAAGCATGCACCATCTCCAGCACATGGATTTTGAGTTGGAGGCAGCTTCCATTTAACAGAAGTACCCAGTGAACCTGAGTTTCACCTCATGGGAGCCAAACAGACACAAGCACTGCTGGCACAATGGCACTCACTGCCTTTACAGAAACAGAAGACCCTTTCCTTTTATGCTAACCCCAAGCCTTAAGAGGAAACCATGAGACAGATTCTAGGTTAACAAAACAATGGTTTCTTCTCTGCCGAGTTCTGTGGTCACTCTAAGACTCTACATTTTTCCATGCAAACCACATTCACATTAAATATGCTTATACTAGACTTACCCTCTGCTTCCTCAAAGCAATAACAACCATAAGAATGGGACGCCTGCATTAATTCAATGGCCACTGTAATAACAGTGTTTAATGATTCTTACTAAACAGCTCTCAGACACCATCTCCCAATTTACACGAGCTCCCAATCACACAAAAGCAAACTTCTAGGTATGTCATGATTGACCAAACTTTTATACACTATACATCCATTCAGGTCGACTTGCTAAGATGACTTCTTCTCAGAACTTAATGTCCTAGCTTTAATGTCTAAGATTTTACCAATTAAAAATATTTTAAAAACCTAAAATCAAAAGGTCATTAAATAACCAATCACTCACCATACTGACCTGGTTGCTCCGTGTCTGCTTCAGTTTTTGAAGAACCTGGTGCAACAGGAAGAGGTCGTGGGGGCCGGGGCTTGGGAGTGGGAGGTGAAATTCTTTTCCTTCCAATATATTCAACGTATGTTCCTGGAAAGTCTCCCCTCTCCCCGGTGGTTTCATTGTAGCCATTTAACCAGCCAATATCTTCAGGCCGGGCTTCCTGTCCATCACTGAATCCAAGTGCCACTAAGGACCCTTTATTCACAGTTAATATGTCACCCAAGTGCAGGTCGATGTCCTCCTCTCTCTCCTTCTTGTAGTCATACAGTGCTCTGTACTGGTATCCCTCAGCGCTCATGTTTGCAGCTCTGTCACCCCGCAATAGAGGAGTCTGCTTGTACACTGCAGTCTGAGTTTACGTGTTGAGGGAAAGAGAGTTCAGAGAATGGGCTAAAATCCCTAACAGGTGGCCAGCAGAAGACGAGGGACCACTATCCAAAGGTTTAAGAGAGGTGACTGGCCATCCGGCTGTCCATCTGTCCTCCATCAATGGTGTGACTGAAGTCAGGGCTCTACTCCCTCTGTGTGCCACAGTCCTCCCTGGTGTCCTTTTCAGCGACTTGTCAACACCTTGACTCCAGGCTGACTCTCAAAACGAGGCCCAATCCTCTCTGACGTTCTTGTCACACTGTCCATCTGTCGTCTGATTTTACTGCCACACTCTACTCTCAGCGTCACCTAGCAAGCAAAAACAAGGCTTATGAAAGAACATCACACTTGGCCATCTGTGTGGATTTGAATTTCTACGTCCATTCAACAAGTACTTAATCACTCTGGCAGACAACATACATAGACAGGCCAGTGGGCTACTGCTTGACACAGTGTACAAAACCAAGATTAGTTAGGTAGTCCCTGCCTTCTAAGAAGGCTGGGCGGGACAGGAGGAGAAGTGTTAGCAATGTTCTACAGATAAGACTAGGACATGAGGAACCAAAACATTAGGTAAATGCCATAATAGATGTTGACACAAAATGCCACCGAGTGAGAGAGAGAGAGAGAGAGAGAGAGAGAGACCACATCAAATTGCAGGAATCTGTAGACAGAATGGAATGTGTGTCATGATCCTGAGTACAGACAGACCAAGCAAATGTCATATTATGAAAAGAAGCACAGGCAGTCTAATCCATCAGAAGACAAAGAAGGAACAGTGATCCTGGGTTGGGAAGACAACAGGGCCATCTGAAATGCACAGGGACAGCAAGTGTGAGTAAGTCAACCCTCTACGGTGAGTGCCCCATGATGTGGGGAAGCAGTCACGGGATGAAGGCTGCACCCAATCTGACCTCGGTGCCCAGGTGGGACTGGCACAGGGAAAGAATGGAAGTGAGAGGCTGCTAAGAAAGGTGAGGACAGAGACCAGAGACGCAGAAGCTGGTCCGTCCATAAAGGCGCAGACTGAAGTGGTACACAGTATGAAGGGGAAATGTGTGGTGAAAACTGCTCGCTGGCAGAAGCAAGAGGAGCAAGGGCTTGATCCGAGGCAAAGGAAAGCCCAGAGACCTGATGGGCTCATGGGATATAGACAAACACTCCATGTGTGCTAGTGGCTGACCAAAAACTCCAGCTGAACTCGAGAGTACACCTGTGGTTTTGTAAGTAGCTGCAAATAAAGTAGAACTGATTTCAGTGTGATGGGAACCATTACTGACTTTCTGGGATGCCACACTGCAGGCCAACAATAGGATAGCAACTAGATTGTAAGGAGTTAAGATATGAAAGGAAGTAGCCATGCTTACTGCTGCGGAAGTACTATGTAAAACAGGCTTGGTGGAGGCCAGGGTAATGAAAACGGTTTTCTTTCAATTGCCAAGCATAGTGGGGGCAGAGCAATTGGAGAGCTTTAGTCATCATGGATGGCTAATAGGACTGCATGTAACACAGATGCACGCATCATCCCTTTTATTTCTCAATGTTACCTTTACTGTAGAAACTACTTTCAAGCAAAAGGTTTCAGTTCACCAACTTGTACAATAAAGCAATACAAAAACAGCCACACGGGCCTGTGTCAAAGAGACTTGCTTAAGTTTAAAAGAAAGAAACACTTTAGCAGTTCAGTATTACAAGGCACTCTTCAGTGTAGGCATCTTAAAAAACGAAATCTAATCACAGATTAATTGTTATGTTGGCATTCAGAAGTGTAAAGTATTCAACTTCACATGGCTAAAGCCTCTTAGCTTTATACAATAACACTCTAAGGAGGGCTGCATATTAAAGGGAAGTAAAAACAAACACTGGAAATCTTTGTGGAGCAAGAATATTAATTTGGGATAGTACTCTACTTTGCATTTCAGGCATCAGAGGGAAAAAAATTAATGCAGCCAGTGGAGCGTATGAGAAAAATAAGCTATGTTACATTTGAAGAAAACCTCTCCTTCTGAAAGATCCAGAACCAAATTAAAAATTCATTGCATAAATTCACACAAAAATGTAGAACCAGCAAATCTCATTTTTTTGTACTAATGTGTTCTGTACAAAAGAAACACAACTCCAAAGAACATGAAAATTTACATATCCCTAAAAGCTTGGAATCCAGGCAATATGCCTAAGAATAATTTAATTCCTTCAAATCTGCCCTGAAATTTTTGTTAGCTTTTCCTGGCAATGTATGTCTTTTAGAGGGGAGGGGAGGGGGAAAGTCCTAAGTCAGTGGCCAGGGCAGATCTTTCTGCCAGCTGCTGCCTCACACTTCCTCAATTTCAACCACCCAGAGGACCAGTTTGGTGGGATTTCAGTAGAACAGGAAATACAATGCCTCCAGCCCCCAGCAACCATGAAACAAGCCCCAGCACACACCACAACAATATAGCTAGGCATGTTCCACACCATCGACTCAGAAACTGCCCCATGCCTTTTCAGGGATTTCTGAACCTGAGGTCCTCTTGAGTGTACCTGGGGCTAAGTCCACACAAGGGGATGAAACTCTGGGTGGCATCCGAAAGAGGACGCTAGATTCTTGAGAAGCAATCCCCACCCTGTGTGCTGAGACCTAGACACTTAGGCCAATGCTCTCCCCCGTCAGTGCAGGAGAATCTTAAAAACTCTACAGAACTCTGGGTCATAGTCTGACAAAGGAAACACAGATCTCTTATGAGTTGGGGATTGCAAGTAAAGCATGCCTGTCTGCTTGGGGATTACAAGTAGAACAAGGCCAGGGAGATCAATGCAGACAGTTAAGGTTGGCAGTCAAGGTCAGCAATGACTGGGTGTCAGTGAAGCAGTCTGAAAGCAATGTTGGAAAAAGAGAGGGCGAGCACACAAAGTCATTTATTTGGGTGGGGATTGATCATGTGGTGACAAGGTTCAGAGAGACCTTGGCTGGGCAGAGAAGGCAAGCAGTCCTCTCAGACTGCACTCTGGCCTGCACACTTTCTCTGGACTGCCGTGCCCATTTAAATGAGGTAGTGTTATCACTATCATTGTCATGTGATGACACTTATTGGGAGCTGTGCCCACATTAACCCGTTCCACCCTCATAATAACCAAGGTACTATAGATAGTCAGTTGACAAGCTGAGGAAGCTTAGTGTCTCGGGCATGACTGCACTCAGTGCCAGATACAGAATCTAAATTCAGATCCAGCTAGTGTGTGGAGTTCCCACTTTTAAGACCACCATAACTTATTTCTGGTCTCCATGAGTTGAGATGCCCAGGGGCAGCTTAGGCACAGCAGAAATATCAACAATGCAGTAGCCAGCCTGCTCTGGCTAGTCCCCCATGAGAATTCTGTGGATGTGCCTTCATAGCAGCCACATAGGTAAGTGTGACTGGTTCTCTAACATACCTGCACAAAAAGAAGCCAGTGTAACCAGACAGCAGTCCCACCAAGTGCAGGACTCAGCACCTCAACCTCCAAAGCAACTCTATTAAAATGTACCTTTGCCTAAGAAGTCCATAAACTAGTGAATAAAAGAATCACTTATAGAAGACTGCCCACTTCTGGAATCCTGCCCATCTCTGTCCTACAAACATAGCCTCTGCCACCTGTACCCCTCTTGGCCTCTCTGCCCTGTGATACTCTCCTGGGCTACTCATTGCACAATTTCTAACAACTTAGCTCCTCCCTTGGGAGATAAGGGAAGCATCAATCCAGAGTCACAAGAACTGTCACATCTAAAGGACTGGCAGCTCTCCTTTGAATTGTCCCCAGGACTGCAGAACACCCAGCAGCTGGAAGCATGGTAAGTGCCTATGTGATCCTCCTGAAGTCAATTTGGAGTTTTGACAGAACAGATATTTCCCACTTTCAACAAATTATGCCTTCTATTCTTTTTGGCTAAAAACATCTGCCCAGTGAACTATTTCCACTCATATTCAGAGTAAAGGTCACTTTATGTTCAAATAATAGTCATCACCAACAAACTATTATTTTCAGATGACCCAGGCAATTCTATGATATAAGCTCTAAGCTAATGCATGCATAGGACACTGTATACTCCCCCCAAAAGCTTAAAGGAATTTAGTGAAGAAATTACAAAATAACTTATTTTTATACAAGATCTATGCCACTGCCCATAATTTCCTTATGGGAACTATTTTGCTCTAATCTTTTAACTTTTTCATGGCTGTCTACAGCCCTACTCACTGGAAGTAAACTTTCTTTCTCTGCTAACATACTGAGTAAGTCTCATTTTTTTTTTCCAAATAAAATTGTTTCTAATGCTCAGCAAATAAAACTATGTGGCTGACTGCTTAATGTGCAATGGCTTGAAAGTAGGTTTTTTTTTTTTTTTTTTTAAGTTTACCTTTCTAAACTGCAGGCACAATGAGAAAGAACCAAACAAACTCTCTGAAAAGCCCTCCAGTTTTGTTGACTTACTCTATTCACCTTCTACAAAGGATGGGATTTGGGAAAACTGATGGAGAAGCAGAAAAAATGGATCTCCTCAAATTGCATTTAAAAAAAGAAAGAAAGAAAGAAAGAAAGAAAGAAAGAAAGACAAGAAAATATAAGCGTGCATTACTATCCTGTGATGCAATTAGCAATGTGACACTGGGTGGCAGCACCAAAAGGTTCTATAGTCAAGATAAGAGCTCTGGGTGGGCAGCCTACACCACCATATGTAATCCCTTTCCCTTTCCCTTTCCCCTTAAAGTGCTAGCTCAGAGTCTAGAGTAAATGTCCTACCTCAATTTATACAGTCTTTGAAAAACAAGAATCATTACTTGAAAATCTGTCTACCCTTCCAAACTCTGAAAGTTATGAAATACTAGGATCCTAAACTGACTTAGGATCCTAGTAAACACTATGTGTTTATATATATAATGCTGGGATTGAACAGCCTCAATTAAAATAGGGTAGAAAAGATGGGCTCAAGGTGAGCCCAATGTTACAGGCATCTAATATCTCCATCCATTTCCAAATCAACAGGCTAAGCAGAATGTGCTGCCTGATGCCACACTCCAGGCTGGGTAGCTACTGTGGGTAGGTAGTGTGTGGAGGCTGCAATTCCTGCCTGCAAGCCCTTTAGGGGCAGAGAGTACATACCCAGGTGACATGGTAAAGAGACAGGCCTGCAAAGCGGTTGCAGCACTGAGAAGAGCACACTGAGAAGAGGAGAGGAGAGGGCTACTCCGGGCCACCCACAGCAGCCCTTCTAGACAAAGAGGGTCAGGATTAAGAGGGGACTAAGACGAAGGGCCATGTGACTAAGAGACCCTCCTACAAGAAGAGGCTATGAGGCCAATGTGCCTTGACCCCTGCATCACTACAGTAGACAGGGATTGAAATGGTAGCCCTGGGAGGAGTGAACAAAAAGGGGGCTGCCCTAAAGTACCTCTTCTTGTGAAAAACACAATTGTAGTTTTTCAAATTCATGGCAGGAAGAGTGCTGCAGCTAACAGGGGCTGCCCTGATCCATGCCTAGATATGGAACTATTGGCAAGTCGATGAAACCTCCCTCTATCATTTCATCACCTGTGAGGCCGGTGTAAGAAACAGACCTATACCTCACTAGGTTATTATGAGGATTAAAGGCAATTACACTCACAAAGCACGTAGCACCATGCTTCTCAGTACAAGCTTAATATAATTAACCCCAACTCAGTGTTCTCCGTGTGCAGGGCACAGTTCTTGGAGTTTTGCACGCACCCTTCCAACTGCTGTAGCTTAATTATCAGCCCCATTTTGCAGATGAGAAAACAAGCAAAGTTAAATTACATGCATGAAGTGACAGTCAGCTGCAGTGGTGGCACTCTTATAACTGCTCTTAGGAACAATGGGACTGCTAGCAATATATCAGCATTGAATGTCACTGCCATTTACACAATGCAGATTTAAAACAGAAACAGACAGGTGCCAGGAATTTTCTCTTGTGCTGCCTTTCAATGCTGCAAGCAGTTCTAAAAGAAGCCTGAAGCTACCTAAAATAAAACCCTGCTGTAAATAGAGTCAGATAGAGCCTGTGGACTTAGCCCAAGTAATTCTCTCTCCAGACCCAAGGTGGAAAGCAGCTCAGTAGAGGTCAGGGGGTGTTTATGTGGGAGGGCAACAAGAGTATACTTGGTGGTGGGGCACACGGTGGGAGTCATGACACTGTTGTCTAACTGGGTTTCATGGCCACTCCCTAGGCTACCCTCAGAAAGGAAAAACTGAACACAGTAATGAAACACTCAAGAGAATGAGGGCAGCTGGGTCCTCATGGGACAAGCCCAGTCCTCAGGACCGCAGAGGCATTCCAGGATGAAGGCAAGAGGCAAAGGCTGAACTGCTGGCAAGGCATCTGGGCTATACCAACTCAAAACACCAATTGGTGGAGCCTCCTGACTCATTGCCAGGTTCCTATGACTTCAATTCTCTCCCAGGTGATCATTAACCTGAGGACTATTTTGACTACCGGTGCTTATAGGTATACATTTGATTTACTTTAAGGAAAGCAATAGTGGCAGAATAAAATCTCCAACAATGTTTTTACCATCCCTTTTTATTTCTTTAGTAAGTTTGTACTACACTCATTCCATGTTTCACCGGAAAAAAAGGTATTGGTATAAGTAATTACACAAACAAGGTATAAGTAATTAGGTAGTCTATTTTTCAGTTCAAATAGCCTTTAATTGCCACTACTGTCAGCAAGTGATTTCAATAAGAGTATTGGCAAAACCATGACCACCCCCCCCAAAAAAAAATCACACAGGGAGGAGGCAAATGAGGTTGTACAAAACACAAATATGAGTGCTTTAAAAATTAATCACAACCAATGTTTCAAGAAAGAAGGAAAAAATGATACAATTTACACTAATTTTAAAGTAAAAACAAAACTGACAGTTGTGTGTTGGTACAAGCCTATAATCCCAGGACTGGGGAGGTAGAGGTAAAAGGTTCAAGAGTTCAAAGCCAACTTCTGCTACATCGAGAGTTCAAGGCCAGTCTGGACTATATGAGACACTGCCTCCAAAATAATGAGTACACACACATATACAACTGACAATCCCTTCTATTGACAGGTGACTTTGTAGTTTTCAAAGCTTCACCAGGATGCTTCCTTTCCTGCCTCTGCTAGTAAAGCCCTGCATCAAGCAAGGTGCTCTGTGTTTGGCCAATCTAATATACATAACAGACTGACAATTAGGAGCCAATTTTTTCCATGTATGTACACCTTACTCAAAAGAGAATTACAAGTAAACACTACATGAAAATGTTAGCTCATCTTGCTATAGTCTACTTGACCATAAACCATTTTTCCCTCGTTGGCTCATCCACTCACTATCTCTTTATCCAATAAAATACATTTTGCAAATCAAAAGTACAAACACAATAAAAGCTGGACCAGAATTGCTTTTGTTTTAACAACTATGTGGATAATTTTTCAAAGTGAATGCCCTTTTCCAACACTTCCCTGAACTACTTATGAGAAAGGGGGGCAGAAAGGAAATTTTAATCAACACTATAACATTAAAGCTCATGGTGTTCATGGCAAAAGTTTAAAAGAATAAGCAACACTTTTAAGGGTACAAAGTTTGTGTGAGTTGAATAGACTTATACTTAAGATTCAAAGCTTTTTGAGAAATTGGATTGAAAGAGGGAAGGGGACAGGAAAGGGCAACGGGGAGAGAGGATAAGCAAAATATGTAACATGCATGCACAAATATGTCCCCCCAAATTAATATACACTAATAAAAGGTTTTTAAAAAGCAATCCATCAGCTTAGGTGTAATTAACATTTCCAAAAGATAAATGCATACAAACCCACCATCAACAGCCAAAATACATATCCCTGTAAATGTGTTCTATTGCTTAGTTTTCCCAAACCAACTTTTTATACTGGAAATGCATCAAAGACAAGAAAAATAAATATATAGCTAAAGAAAACAACACACTGAGTCAGTGGGCAGTGAAATGCTTTTTTACATGGCTACAGCACATCACAGATGTGAAAAAGCAGAGTGCTATCATAAAAAATGCAAATAAAACAACAGATAACAATGTGCACATGGCAGAGCTCTGTTATGCAACTAGGAACAGGTCCCAATGCAAGATGAAAGTTAAAAGTAAACTCCCACAATAGTCTGAGAGCCAGTATCAGCCAAGTCCAACTTTCTTCAAATCATAAAAACTGACAGATAGCTATGGAAAAGTAGTGTGGCCTGCAACAGGCACATAGAGGTGGCATTGCAGAGAATGTCTGCAAAGCAAGGAACTTTCCCCATTCACCTTTCCTAATTAAACCTACTTTGAATCACCAGTCCAAAACCACGAGGTGCAAGAAAAATCAGGATCGTCATTTTCTTTGTAATAAGCAAAAACAGTTGTTTCCAAATTTTAAACAACTGTGTGCTTTAAAAAACGGCCTGCTTACCATTAAGTGTTTTATCTCAAAAACAGTGAGTGCAACTGTCAAAAAAAAAAAAAAAAAAAAAAAAAGCTCAGGAGTTGCTGGCTCTCTTTTCAGTGACAAATGATGCAAGGACACCTCACCTGTGTGAAGGCCCTTAAGTCCTAATGATTTCTACTTCAGAAATCTATTAGTCTGCTAATCCATGGCAGAAATAAGCCCATCTGTCTACTACTCCAAGCTTTCTTTGCTCATAATTTACAAGCTTTAAGGTGCCCAAGCTAATGAAATTTACCATAAGCTAATGAAATATTAAGATATGCTTCCCCATGGAGCCTAAGTCAATCAGTTTTGTGGGTGCTCCTACCACCTAAAAACTTGAAACTCGATCTCACTGAAATGACAATCCCATGCTACATTAAAAACCCGGAACTGCTTCATCCTTTCCTACTTCGCACTGTCTGACAAAGAGGGAAAAGACGGGAAAAGAAAAGGAAAAATTTTAAGCCCTAAAACCACGAAAGCCCTAAATAAAGCATAAATTCACACCAGTACAGCAACAGAGCCTGCAGCTCCTCCTAGAATTAACGGTGGAAGTGAGACCTTTCCGGTATTACTAGTGCCGGAGCAGAATTCCCCTGAATCCAGTGCCGGCACACAGCATTCAACATGTCACAGCCACTCCGCTCACACCCTTGCGTTATTGTGCGCGAAAGCTGGTTACCAAAATGCATTTCTGTACATGCGTGCCTGGCCAGAGCGTTTCTATTCTCTTTGTCTCGTGATCTGCCGGGCAGTTTCTGGCTTTGGAAAGGAAGTGGCTTGCAGACAATTCCCCACTGATATTTTAGCTTAGGTTTGCATGCGGGCCGGCTCTCCCCGGTCGGCAGCATATTGCTGGGCAGGTCCCTCCAGGATTGCCCCGCGTTAGGAAAAAGCTGGATTTCCGGGCGGTGCCAGGATCCCACTCATTATGCCTCCAGCAACCTGCCCAGGCCCGGCGGGCGCCAGACGCCGAGCTCAAGCCCCAGCCACCGACCGCCCTGAGGCGCACTTCCCCCACCCCGGAAGAGGAGGGCGGCAAACTTCGGAGGGCGGGGGCTGGGGGCGAGCTCCAGGGACCACCGTGGCCCAGCTCGGTCGGCGACCCAGGCTGCAGCTGCCAGGCCTGGAAGGGGCGTCGCGCTTATGCAAAGACAGCGATCCAGGCGCTCTCCTCGCGGGCTCCCGGCTCCAGGAAGCTGCAGGGCAATAGGGGACCCTCGGAAGCGTGAGGTGACGAAGGAGGAGGGGAGCCGGCGACCGCTGGCAACTCCGGGACCGAATGCACCCGGCAGCGAGCAGAGCCGAACCGGGGTAGCACCGAGGAAACCAGAGCAGGAGGTGGTCGCGACCACGCAGGCTAGCCGCTGGCCGGAGAAGGTTTCCCAGCGGCGCAGAGATGCTGGAGACTGGGGGCTGGCAGCTGGGTCGCTTCCCCTCGAGTGTCTCGGCAGCAGAAGCGGCTGCCGGTGACAGGAAGAGCAGCGGCCGAGCGCGTTCGCACCGCCTCCCCCTCCCGGGCACACCGGGACCCACCGCCTCCACCTACCTCCGGAGCGGCTCGCTTCCTTCCTCTGCCCGACCTGGGATTCAGCGGTCTCTCCAGCTTACAGTTCCCAGGCGCCTGCGATCCAGCTGCGACCCACCGGCGCTTCGCTGTCCCGGCTCTTTGACTGCACAGCCG